TCCCCCTCCCTCAGGTCAATCCATGGCTCCATCCTTCATCAAGAGGTAAGTGAGAAGCAGACGTGACTTGACATTAGGGGTGCTTGGGTGTCAGATCTCAGTCCTCATGCAGATCTGGGGTTTAGAGCACAAAGACTTTTGCAAAGCTCCAGATACACACAGTACCTTTTCCTGGAGTGTTAAGTTCTCACTTTTGGAGGACATTCCTAAGAAATGCAACTGGTAAGGGATATAAGTGCTTATTTTTCCATATTAAGACAAGTGTAGCTATATTATAGAAGAGAGTAAAGAATCTACATCCATTTCTGGGTTGTATTGGTCTGCCTTGGGCAGGGCCCCAGATCTCTGTGGGTGCACGGTCATGCTCCTCTGCCATCAGGTGAACTTTGGTAAAATGGTCTGGGAAGTGCTGGACCCATTCCTTCTCTAGCAGGCCCCATGCTGGCTGCCTGGGGATGATGAAAGTCTAGAAGCCCTCACTGCTGAGCCAGAGGGAGGCTTATGTTGGGGGAAAGGGCAAGGCCAGTATAGTTGAGGTTGACTTTTGTTTTCTCTTAAATGGGAAGAATTTTAGCATACTTGTTGGAAACTGCTTTGGAGTTGGTCTCTGTTAGCTGGTGTTTTATAGGTTTGTTTTGCAACATGGCACAGCCAAACTGCGGATGGCTGTTATAGCTGCCCTGAAACCAAGCCACAACCATCGAGTGTTTCAAATAAACTTTAATAAACATCACCACAGCCTCTGCTTGTGCAGGAGATGTGCCAGTGGCAAGCTCAGTTGACAGAACAGCGGCACTGGGGCTCTGTGCTGGGGATGCTCACATGCATGTGGCACCTGCCCCTGAGCTCTCAGCATCTGCTGCTTTCCACAGTTGCCTGGTATACCCCATGGACGCAAACCAACATCCTCAGCATGGGAAGAAAGGTACCTCAGCATCTCCATGTATCTGCCACTCTAAATCACACACTGAGTCACCAGGAGCACAGCTGCCATGAAAGGCAACCCTGATTCAGATTCAGTCTCACAGGGTGAGATGAGAGTTGAAGCTAAGGGGACAGAGGCAAAGGGAGGGATTGGGCAAGGTTAACTGTGTCTGAGTGATTTGATTATGTACAAAGACCTGGTTTGATGCTCTGGATTCTCAATCCTATTTGTGTTTCAGAAAATAAGCTAGCTACTTTGGCTTTTTCTCCAGTCAACATGTTCTCAGTTGTGCGGACCATGATTCTTCTCCTCTCTGGTTTTTGGCTGAAGTTACCCAATGTTGCATGAATTTCAGAGCATAGACCTGGGTTACAATGCAATGAAGGAGAAGACTAAAAGGCTGCTTTGGGAGTGAGGGAAGGATTTGCAGGAGTAACAATTCTTAGCTCATCTTCAAGAAGGGATAAAGTAAGGATGGCTAAATTTAATTTCTGACAAATGTTGTTTAGAATCATGAAGGAGAAACTCAGATTTAAGTGGATTTTAGGAGGGAAAAATCACTCCCATCCATCACTCATTATTATATCTTTTAGGAGCCAACAAGCAAATTGTACAGACAACAAAGGGCCTCTAAATTTACAAGTCCATGGCCTTCCCCCACCTTCTCACAACAAGGATTGGCAAACAAGGCTGCCCTGACTTACCTATGAAATATGCCAGTAAAATAGCCAAGAGGAGGGCCGCGGCAATGGCGGAGAGGGCAGCACATTTCCAGCTGCAGTATTTGGAGGGCTTCTTCAGCTTGAAGGCCTTCCTGGAGAAGGTATTCCTGGGCAGCAGGCGGGGCGGTGGTGTGTAAACGGTTCCTGAGGTCAAAGGGTATCCCGGAGAAGAGCTGCTAAACAGGGGGGTGCTTCCCGAGGAGGTCTTAAAGAGGAAGTGCCTGCCAGAAAATGGAAAGAGTCAGAGTGGCCGTGGGTGGCTACTGAGGAATGCTTAGCTGCTTTTTCTTTCCCTCTTATTTGTATAGTCCTAGTATATAGTCCTAGTTAACCAAACTTACCCTGTAGTGAAAGAAAGGGCGAACGTTACGTTTCATAGTGATATGAATTAATTCCATAAACTTGCATAATTCTATGCTTTCACATATGCATCTAGATTTTATCTCCCACAATAATCCTGCAAATTTTTCAGAGCAAATATGGAAACCAAATTACTGTCAGTCACTCAGAGATGATGACAATAATGATGATGCTAAGATTTATTATGTATTAAATACCTACTATTGAAAGGCACTTGCAATACATTGTCACAACTATTTACAAAGGAAATATTATAATATCCCCATTTTAGGAATGAGAAATCAGGTTTGCAGAAGTCAAGCAAATGTCCCAGGATTTAAACCCAGAGCTGTCTTTCGATGGAGTCTCTGCTTTTAAGTGTTATAGTAAACTCTCTCTCGACCCTTGTTCTTAAGCTGCTTTGACCTCCTCCTTTTATCCTGCTTCCTGTGCTGAGACTGCCTGTATAGGTCATGTGATCGTGGTTATTTCTTTAGAACCATCTTTGCCTATCAAGTGAACAGGGTGTTCTCAGTAGGCAGAACTATGTTGTGACAACCACATAGTAGAACCATACAGTAGATCATGTGGTGTAGACAAGGATAGAACTCCTCAGGGTTCAGAACACTATTACTCCAAGAACCCTTCATGGACCGTCAATTCTCTGACAATAGATTATTCTCTCTCTTATACATGCCATTTGCAAGACTTCAAATGTGACTTGCTACACCTTGCTTAAAACAATGACTTGCCCGCCAGGAAATATACAGTGGAATATGAGGCTCAGGTAAAGTAGACTGTAGAGTCTGAGCAGCTGGAGGACAGGGACTATGTCTTATTTTGTACCTTGTCCATCCTAATGTTCCCAGTACCCAACTCAAAGCCCAGTAGGTAGGGGGGACTTTAGTGAATGAGCAAATGAATGAATGAAGTCCTCTCATTATTTGGTAGTTTCACTCAGCTACAACTCTTACGATTTCAAATTGTTAATACAGGCATTTTCTTTCTCTTCACATCTCTAGTAGGTACAAATTTATTTATTGACCACTTACAATGTGTCAGTTACAACTTTGTAACTGTTTTGCATGTTTTCTGTAGTTGCATGTTTTACTTGCAACTAAACCTCACATCAACCCTATGAGGTGGGTATACCTGTTTTATAGATGGGAAAGCTGAAGGTAGGAGTTAGCAAGCAGGGTCGTTGAGGCTCATACTCCAGTGTGCCTGACTTTTTATTTTATTTGTTTATTTTTTACATCTCATTAGAGCTTTTGGAAACTCTAATCAGACCTACTACACCACACTGCCCTTGTGCGTGGGACTTGGCTGACTTTCCCAGAGGGATTTGAGGCAAGATCCCTGCCATTACAAATATGTGTATCATGGCTGCTTCCAGATAAAACCTTGAAAGTACTTTCATCCTTGACAGAGATCCAAAGAGCCCAGTATGACTGACAATCATGTCAGAAAATGAGTATCTGATTGGTGAATTATTTAACATAGCTAACATTAAAATAACTTATATTTAAATTTTATTTGTTCTATAATGATCTGAATAAAGCATAGGAGTTTGATTCCATAAAAAAGGCTTTGGATTCCTTGTCCAATAGCTCTCTTTCAATGCTCCAGATTGAAAGCGCCTTTTGGATGAAGAGGCAGTAGGCATGGTGTTTAAAGAAGTGTTTTGGAGCAAGACAGACCTGGATTGGCATCCTGGCAGTGCCATTCCTGGACAAGTCAGCTCATGTAATTATCTAATGCTGCTCTTGAGATCCTCCACCTCCTTATCTGTAAAATGGGGCATAGGTACTTATTAGAGCATAGGTACTTCATATCTGGTTGTTGTGAGGATTACAGAAGATCATGTAGGAAAAGCATTTAACCTAGGTGTGTCTCCTAGTAAGTGCTCAGTTCATTATGTGAAGCTTTTATTATTAATTCTTCAGAGCAACATAAGGAGCCTGAAACCTGAATTTTAATTTAAAGCTTGACACATGTCAAATGAACACCTGAAGAGTTCTCTAAATCACTGAACAATAGTCCACTCCCTTATAATGCAGCCCGTACACACACAGAGCAGAAAGCCAGGGTGATGGAAGAGCTCTGGGATTTGATTTAGAACTCCTTCAAGTTTATTTCTTGGACAATTCTCCAAGAGCAGGTGGTGGAAATAGGAAATCAAACTAAAACAAAGGAATTTAAAGGCATCATAAGGAGTCATTAATGAGTATTCAAAGTATCCAAACACCAGTTATCACTCTGCAGCAATCTTACCCACTCCCAAGGCATCGAAGTCTCCAGATCCCCAACTTCATCCTTGAGCTCCAGACCCACATTCCTATTGTGTTTGGACATCTCGTTTTCTGTGTTCTGTGGCTATCTTGAACAAGTCACAAGCAAACGCACAGTTTTCCTTTACCTCCCCCAACCCACTCCTCTTGGACTCCTGTTATTGCCAGTTACGTAAGACACTGTGGGCACCTTCACCTCCTTCCTTTCCTTCAGATAGGTTAAAGAATCCCACCAGTTTTATTTCTGAAAACCTCTCTCACCAACCCTCCCCTTTAGCCTTCCTGCTCCTTTTCTTCCCAAGCCACAAATGCCACTGCGCCCTGTCTTACGCCCTGTCTTGTGCCCTGGTTATCCTCCAATGCCTAAAAGAGGAAATTTAAGTTTCAATACGAGTCAGGTGCTCTGCAACTACTACCCAACTTTTCATCCTCATCTCTAACTTTGTGCTCCAAGCTCCCACAAACTCTGTGCTTCAGCCACACCAAGAGACACGTCTCCCCTTAGCAGGCCTGTTCCTGCCACCATGCCTTTGCAAATGCCATGCAACGCCCTCTCAAATGGCTTTTCCTGATCTGCCCCACCTGATCCAGCCTAGCCAGCTCCTACTCACCTTCCAGTCATCTACCTGGCAAACCTATTCTAACACTCCCCTCATTACTCTGTGCACTTACGTATCTGTTTATGCACTTGTGTATATAAATATATATATATATATATATATGTAATGTCTGTCCCCAACCAGAATGTGAACTCCTGGATATATGATACTGGTAGACATCACTCTTGATATCTCTAGAGTCTAAACATCAGTGCTTGAAGATCAGTCTTATTTGCAGACAGAATAAATAAATTGAAAATAGAAATGTTTGAGCAATACAAGAGTAACAATACGAAGATTAAGAAGTTTAAATTGGCTTTAACATTATTTTCAATATACTCACTTATGAGAAAAATAGAATATGATTATTATATCTAACACATGGGATTGCTTCGTGAGATCCTAAAATTGTTCCCTTGATAATCCAGTCTATTTCCCACACTTCCTTCTAAATAAAAGAAGTCAGATCATGTCGCATGTCACCAGCTCCCCTTCCTCCTTCAATAAAGGCATCCAATAACATTTAGAATAATGAAATCAAAAGTCTTTTCCATGGCCCACGATAGCTGCATAGTATGCCCTCTGGCCATCTCTCCAACAGAATCTTCTCCCACTCTTACCCTAGCTCACTCCATTGGTCACAACGTCCATCTCCTATTCTTCATCATATTGCATCTTCCTGCCTCAGGGCCTTTGCACTTGTGGTTCCTTCTGCCCAGAAATACCTGCACAGCTTGTTCAGAGTCATTCAACTCTGCCTTGGTATCACTTTCTCAGAGATATCCTCCCTGGCCCCTTTCATCTCTTTTACTCTCTGTCCTATTATAACAGCTTTAATTTTTTGCATTATATGTATATATTTGTGTATTATTTATTGTCTGTCTCTGTCATTAGAACTGAATTCCTAAGAAATTTAAAATAATTAGGTATTTTGTCTGATTTTTTTGACACTGTATCCTAACATCTGGAATAGAGCCTGACACATAGTGAGTTCTCAACAAATCTTTTTTAAATGAATGACTTGCAACCTTTACCCAGGCCAAAATAATGAATGCTAAAAGGACAGTACTGTGAACATTTTAAATTTAATTTACATTTTTTTTCGTGGTTGGTTGGGAGGGGGATCTAAACTCGTGACCTTGGTGTTATAAGGCCACTCTCTAATCAACTGAGCAACTGGCCAGCTGACATTTTTAATTTTAAAATTAAGGTTCCTTCTGCCATGTTGACCCCTGTTTTTCAAACAGATTTATGAGTTTGCATATGCGCACACAGGCAAATGTCTGTCTGTCTGTCTATCTATCTATCTATCTATCTATCTATCTATCTATCTATCTATCTATCGCCAAATCCCTCCACACACAAACAACCTGCATACTTTCTGGTATTGCATTAGCCCTTGCTGGATGTGATCTCTCAAGCTGCTCATTGGCATCATGGCATCTGCAATGATTACAGCTAAATGAAACTTATCTAGTAATCACATCCATTCTTCCTAGCTTCTGGTGCTTAAAATGATTAAAGAAAAATACGAAAGACATGTAAATCCTGTTTCTCCCACTATACAGCTACACCCTGGTGTTACAAATCTGTAGAAGATTAAATTCAGCAAATTAAAAAAGAAAGATTCTGAAGAAGTGATCTTCAGATGGTGTCCTCAAAATATCTGCTTTAGCATCACTTGATTGCTCTGTTAAAAACGTACAAATTCCATCCAGATCTGAGGATGGGGTCTGGGAGTGTATCAGTTACAGAGCTCCCTAGGTGATTTAGATGTTTGTTCAAGTTTAAGAAACTCAATCCTAATCATTTTTGCACTTTCCAGATGTGTTCAATTTACAGAGAACACACTAAATGGTTAGCATGCATATACATTTTTTAAAATGCAAACTTTGAAGAGTGCAGCATTATAAGGCCAAGCTACAAAAATAGTACCAGCCAGCTACAAAAATAAATAAATTAAAATAAAATAAAATGCAAGCTTTGAATGCA